TGCTGACTGTGACTGACCCGAGTGACCCCAAAGTGACCACGAGTGACCCCTGAGTGACCACGAGTGACCACTGACCATTGCGGACACGGGGAAGTCCCGCGCGTGCATCTCTGAGTGACCCTCACTGACCCCTGAGTGACCACTGACCCCTGAGTGACCCCTGAGTGACCCCGAGTGACCACTGACCATCACAGAGTGACCACTGACCATTGCGGACACGGTGAAGTCCCGCGCGTGCATCTTCTCGGTCAGCCAGTCCACCTTGCGGCGGGTGTTGATGAAGATGACCGCCTGCGTGATGGTCAGCGTCTCGTAGAGGTCACACAGCGTGTCCAGCTTCCACTCCTGGCCGGAGGAATGACCCTGAGTGACCGCTGAGTGACCACTGAGTGACCGCTGAGTGACCACTGGTTTATAGTGACCAAAAAATGACCCAAAGTGACCCAAAACTGACCCAAAATTGGTCAAAAAGGGGCCAAAAGTGACCCCAAAGTGACCTTCTGGTCACTCCCAGTGTCCAGCTGCCACTCCTGGCCGGAGGAATGACCCTGAGTGACCCCTGAGTGACCGCTGAGTGACCACTGAGTGACCACTGCTCCATAATGAGCAAAAACTGACCCAGAAATGACCAAAAATGACCCAAAATTGCTCAAAAGTGACCAAAAGTGACCCAAAAGTGACCCCCAGGTCACTCCCAGTGTCCAGCTGCCACTCCTGGCCGGAGGAATGACCCTGAGTGACCACTGAGTGACCGCTGAGTGACCACTGAGTGACCACTGCTCCATAATGAGCAAAAGTGACCCAAAAAATGACCCAAAACTGACCCAAAATTGGTCCAAAAGTGACCAAAATTGACCCAAAAGTGACCCCAAGGTGACCCCCAGGTCACTCAGCGGGGCACGGGGTGGGGGAGGGGAGGGAGAAATGAGCTGAAATCGGGCAAAATCGGCGAAAAAATGGGCCAAGATGGAGCCAAAATGGGCAAAATTGACCCAAAATCGACCTAAAATGACCCAAAATGGACCAAAATGACTCAAAATGGACCAAAATTGACCCAAAATTGACCTAAAATGACCCAAAATGGACCAAAATGACTCAAAATGGACCAAAATTGACCCAAAATGACCCAAAATGGACCAAAATGACTCAAAATGGACCAAAATTGACCCAAAATGACCCAAAATGGACCAAAATGACTCAAAATGGACCAAAATTGACCCAAAATTGACCTAAAATGACCCAAAATGGACCAAAATGACTCAAAATGGACCAAAATGACCCAAAATGGACCTAAATTGAGCTAAAATTGACCAAAATGGACCCAAAATGGGCAAAATTGACCCAAAATGATCCATAATGGACCAAAAATGAACCAAAATGGACTAAGAAGGGCCAAAATGGACCAAATCTAAGCCAAAATGACCCAAAACTCCCCCAGATTTTTCAAACTGAACCAGAATGGACACAAAATGACCCAAAATGGGCCAAAAATTAACTGAATTATCAAAATTAACCCAAAATGGACCAAAATTGACCCAAAATGGACCAAAATTGACCCAAAATGGAACTAAATGGACCTAAAATTACCCAAAATGAACTAAGGTAACCCAAAATAGACCAAAATGGACCAAAAATGAACTAAAACAACCCAATTTAACCCAAAATGACCCAAAACGGACAAAAATTGACCCAAAATGGACCAAAATGGGCCAAAATGGACCCAAAATGTACAAAAAAACCCCCAAAAATCCCAAATAATCCCTGAAAAATCCCAAATAATCCCCAAAAAATCACAGAAATCCCCCCAAAAACCCCAAATAATCCCCCAAACCCCCCCAAAAATCCCAAATTTTCCCAAACAATCCCCAAAAAATCCCAAATAATCCCCCAAAAATCACAGAAATTCCCCCAAAACCCCAAATAACCCCCCAAAAATCACAAATAATTCCATCAAAAATCCCAAATAATCCCCCCAAAAATCCCAAACAATCCCCAAAATTCCAAATAATCCCCCAAAAATCCCAAATAATGCCTGAAAAATCCCAAATAATCCCCAAAAATCACCGAAATTCCCCCAAAAATCCAAAATAATCCCCAAAAAATCCGAAATAATCATCAAAATTCACACAAAAATCCCAAATAATTCCCCCAAAAATCCCAAATAATCCCGAAAAATCACAGAAATTCCCCCAAAAACCCCAAATAATCCCCCAGAAATCACAAATTCCCCCAAAAATCCCAAATAATCCCCCAACCCCCCAAATAATCCCCCAATAATCCCCCAAAAAATCACAGAAATTCCCCAAAAACCCCAAATAATCCCCCAAAAATCACAGAAATTCACACAAAAATTCCCCAAAAACCCCAAATAATCCCCCAAAAATCACAGGAATTCACACAAAAATTCCCCAAAAATCCCAAATAATCCCCCAAACCCCCCAAAACGCCCCAAATCCGACCTCCCTCTCGACGTTGATGTAGAACTGGCGGATGCCCTCGAGCGTCAGCTCCTCCTTCTTGACCAGGATCCGGATCGGGTCCCGCATGAACTTCTTGGTGACCTCCAGCACGTCCAGGGGCATGGTGGCCGACAGCAGCACCACCTGCGGGCGGGGCAGCCCGAAAACGGGGTCAGCACCCCAAAAAATGGACTCGGGACCCCAAAAAATGGACTCGGGACCCCAAAAAACCCCTGAAACCCCCCCAAGAACCCCAAAAAATGGGGTCAGGAACCCAAAAAATGGGGTCAGGACCCCAAAAAACCCCCCAAAACCACCGCCAAGAACCCAAAAAATGGACTTGGGACCCCAAAAATGGGGTCAGGAGCCCCAAAAATGGACTCGGCACCCCAAAAAACGGACTCGGGACCCCA